TTCGATTCGTTCCCAGGCGGTGGAGAACCGCTTCTGCAGGTGACTGGAGTTCATGACCATGACCATGATCAATTTGATCGAGGTACTCACTCGAGGCCACCTTGCTGAAAGCACCGATGGGACGCCCCCGAATTCCTGGTTCGCCAACATTGTTGATTGGGGGGCGGGAAAGAAATGATTTTTTTTATTCTTTATTTTTTTTCTATTCAATTATTTCTTTCTATCACCTCCCTCCCAGCCACCGGGATGATTTGGATCACACGGTCCCGTCATGGGTGGTAGTCGGTCTTGCTCGCTAGAGAACGTTGCGTGTAGATCGATGGGGCCACACTTAGATGAAAAAGGATCAGGTAGGTCACTTTTCCCTCTTATCCTTGGAGGTGAGATTGCTGCTTAGTGTGCTGGTGCTACCGGGTGCACGGGAATTGTGATGAATCCCAAGGCAATGGAGAGAAATTATTGGCGAGGATGGTCAATGATCAAGTGAGCCATCTGCACTCAGTCTGCATTGAGGATACCTTTCGTCGGTACCCTTGCATTTCAAGGAGAGGGAGGGGGGAACGCAACGTTGCAAGTATAGTAACTCACGGATGAACGAGGCACAGCCCAGTCTAATTGATCTAGACTGGAAAGCTAAGCTATTACTGTTCTGGATCGCAGGTCCTGCAGCCCGTGCAAAAGGTACAGCAGACTGATGAGTCTAGTGTGTCTCCATATAAAGAGATTAATTATGATGATTCTGGACTATCTTGTTGGGGCCACTGGGGCGACTCCATCAGGATGGTTGCCATTTGTCGACGGGCTGCAGGCGTGAATCCTCTGCCCGTCCCGAGGGATCGTTGGGCAACGCGGTGAGGCGGTTAGAGGGATGCAGCACTTACTATGGACCAGCCCCCGAGAATGAGAGGGTGAGAGGAAAAAGTGTGCCAGGGAGTTTGACGGCCATTGTGTGAGTGCTCGAAGGTTCTTGTTCTGGATGAATAGGATAGAAGAGTACTACTGGTTAGTCTCTTTCTTCCGGTTGAACCAACCCTGGCAGAAAACAGGTAAAAATGACAGAGGATTATAAAAAAAAAAAAGGAGGAAGCGAGGGAATGAAATTGGAGGAAGAATTCCGAAAAGAAAAATTAAATTAGAAAAAAGAAATAGCTGCATGAAAAAAACTAAGAAAAATAAAAAAGAAGGCAGAGAGAATGCAGCTGAGTGGCTCACGAGGAAACGCAGCATATCGACTTTCTCCGCATTCCTGAGCAGTCGCGACTCTCCAATTGCCCTGTCTGGTTTTCCTTTTTTGATTTTTTCCCCATTTTTCTGATCAATTCATTTTCTTTTCTTCAGGTTTGATTTACGATCAAATCATGATGGCAATTGGCAGCTGTGGCATTTGAGAATGATCATGGTTGAGAGTGTGTCATCCCCGACCTGTTAACTAACTAACATCATGAACAACGATCTCGATTAGCGAGAATAGGAAAGGTTGCCCGTGAACAGCGCACCGGCGAGGCCACTTGGTGCCCTGATGGGCTTGACGTGGTGATCTCCGGGCCTGCTGGAAGGGAAAAAAAGGTGGAGCCAGAAGGAAGTTGACTAGTAGTTCGTCCCTGTCGCGGCCACCGAGCAAGACCACAGCAAAGTTCCGCTACCCAAAAGGCGCTGGTTAACAGTTCAGTTTAGTTAGTTAGTTAGCAGTTGGATGCTGGGAGTTTTAGTGAGTGTTCGCGGCTTCTTGCGCCTACCGCTTCCCTTTCCCTTCCCTTCCCACCCCCTCGGCTGTCTCATCCTCTCGCTCTTCCTCTTCTAATTATTCTCTTCTTCCCTCCACCACCCCCCGTTTAATTCCTTTCCCTCCGTTACTTCCCTACATCCCACCCCCTTCTTTCTCGACAGCCACGTTGTCGCTTCTCCTTTTTCCTCCGATCGAGCTTGTCGCTCGTCATCGACCATCCCTTCCGTTTCCTTTTCCTTTTCTTTTGTGTTGGTCTGGCGTGTTCGTGTGCCAATGTCGGCTCCCCATCTTCTATAGTTCCCTCCTCTGGGGTACCCGTTCGATGTGATCCTCTCGCAATTCCACCCCCAAAGCGCATCGCTGCACAACATCGTTGCGCGTCACATCGAATAACATACGAATTCGATCGCTTTCGCCCATCCGACCACTCACACCTCGACGTGTTTTTTCCTTTTCTTGTTTTGTTCCCCTCAACTCCTGTTACGACTCACGACCCCCATAAACCCTAAGCGCGCCTTGTCGACGACCCTTCCGAGATCGATCACAGACGTTGCACCATTGACTGAAACGGATTTCTTTACTTCTATTGCTCTTGGATTTCTCTTCCCCCTTGCTCTTTCAGTGTTGAGTTTGGTTGTTCTCTGAATACCGTGTGCGCGCTTCACTCGAATTGGACAATATCGTGCGATCTAGGCTATCTCCGTCCGCGCTTAACTTGGAACGTCAGGCACCAGTTCTCGCATCGCTCTCGAGGTTCGCGACATGACAGTGGTATAGGAAAGTTGCATCAAATTGTCAAGATAACGCACTTACCTCTTACCACTTGTCCCCGTCTTAGCTAGCAAACCGTCGTTGAACCGATACGGAACTACACATCATGGCTTGTCGACCACACGGCCTATCGCGCACCCTGCCGAAGAACTTCACCTTTTCTTCGTCGGGTGAGCCTCGCACACCAGAGCGCGTTTCACGCCACCTGGATGTGCCACCACCTCCCCCTCGTCATTCCAGTTGCCGCTTACGTAGGTCCCGCGTCCGCTCGGGGACCGATGTCTTTGCGCAGGCCGAATATGACCTCAGCACGTTCAACCCGAACCCATCCGATGTCCCTATACCTTCGATTGAAGTCCCCTCTTACGACGCTTTCGCGGGCCCTTCGTGTCCAGCAGTACCCTCCCGCGATGACCGTTTCTTAGCGCCGCCCCGGGATCGCCTGGCCATGAAAACCCCTCCCGCTCAGATTCGCCCCGACCCGATCGAGGATAAAAGTACCGGATCGTGGTCTCTGGAGGACCCGCAGGCCCTGGGAGAGAGTATCCAACGCCCGAGTTCCGTCTGCTCGCAAGCATCAGATTCATCCGTCTCCTCGATAGAAACGTTTGGCTCCCGGCGCTCAGCGGGTGGAAGCTGTACCAGCATGGAGAGCGATTCATACGACCCGTTCTTCCACCTGGAGCTACCACCAAAACCGGCTCCGGAGACGCCCTCTTTGTGTCGGACGCGCAAGAATAAGACACGGATGTTGCATGCTAAGGAACGATGGACCCTGGACATGGACAACCATCTATGGAACACTTACCAGCTCTACATCCAAGACCCTACCATTACTCCTTTCAAAATGACTCCGGGCAGCATTCCGCCGCTTGGGGTCACTCACCGTGTTGCCCGGGAGGCCAAGCGGACGTGGGAGAGAAGGCGCTTTAGACTCGACCGACAGTTTCCCTTCACGCTTTCCTACCAACGTCCATCTAGCAACTCTACTCCCACCCCCAAGGTGGATGCGGTGAAGCCTACCTGGCCTAAGTCAGAAGCATCGACGCGGCGCAGGCTAAAACTACTGTGTAGAAAGAAGTTTTCGATTGCTCCCCACTACCAGAGAATGATGCAATCCAGGAGCCCGACGCCCGCCCTGGACTTGTTGTCCCAGCCGTCTGGTGAACCCCCCAGGGCTGTCGGTCCTCCCAGTAGCTGCACAGCCTATGCGACGCGCGACCTGGGTGTGTCTCTCGTTTCCAGCTCTGTACCTGGGCCTTTGGCTCAGCTGGCAGCGGAAGACTCTTCGCCTCCAGAGATGAACAGCGACTGGTTCAATAATCCCATACTTAGTGCGCCTCGCCAAGTCATCCCGGAGCCACCTGCAATACATCCTGGTAGTGCCCCTAGACAAGAGCCCGTGCCACGGCTAGGATCGCCATTTACGTATAACACCTGGGGACCCAATGCCTCGAGAAAGCGATCTCAGCGTCATACCCCTAGGGCTCGGCGAGAAACCATCCATGTAACGGGCTCCCGGCTACGTTCTCCGCCCCGCATGGAGCCATTCGCGAACGTTGACCATCACCACCTGGCTCCTTACGTGGCCACTGCCAGCGAATCGCCAGCAGAACAAGATACGCGGGTACAATTAGAAGACCTTGTCCGCCAAGGAAAGCTAAGTGACTTAGGTCAGCATCGCATACGCATTCGCAACCGTGGAGCCACGATAAGTTCAGTGAACCACAAAGGTCTCGACCAGTTGTTCTCCCCACCATCGTCGTCCTCTCGGAACGACGAAGATCCCATGGTCGGAAAGCCCATCGCCAATCCTATGCTGAATCTCGGTGGCGACAGTATCAAGCGCTTGGGCTCCCCTTTTAAGGTAGAAACGCCCAAACGAGTTCCGCCGTCACCGAGACGCATTCGACACGCGCCTTCGCTTTCGGATCCGTTCGCAAGCGGGCTTTTACCACAATTCCAGCCGACGAGTCCGAACAGTCAACCGAGGAACGAAGAAAGGACTAGTCGGCTCCCTTACGATCCGACGGAGCAAGGCATCTCCGATGCGGAGCGCATTCGGAGGCAAATCCTGAATATGCCGTACTCGAGGCAATAGATTGCATATTGCATTGTTAGAACTCTGTTTCACCTTGTGTCAACGTCACATCGATCTATTACACTAATGACCGGGATGATTTACCGTGATCTTGATCGCATTTTGATCAAAGGATATAATGACAGAAACGGCATTCACGAATTGATGACTTTTTAGCTCTTGCTTCTCTCGCGCTGAGCCGTTGCATTTATTGAGGAGCAACATTGCATGGTAGACGCAAGAGAACAGGCTACAATAACGAAAAACCAAAAAAAGTGTTTTGAAGTTGCTTCTACATGCATACATTGCTTTTTCCACGGTTCAGCTGTACACCACGGTGCTCAAAGGTGTACGAGCCAGATTTCCAACCGCGACTCATTTAACCGGACTGAACCGTCGTTTAATACGCAGTGTTCTTGTTCTCCTCTCTACTCTTGACCCATACAGCATGATTGTTGGAACGCTCTCCGGTGCATTCTAAAAAACCGCAAACGACAAAAAGACCTTCCCTGTCAGGGGAGTGTTTCGCAGGCACGTTGATGGTCATTACACTCTCTGATTTTCCTTATCTTCTATCTCAACATACCGAACTCCATACACTCTTTGAACAAACATCGACAGTATCACAAACATTGCCAGAAACACCGAAAATCGAAAAATCTACAAAACAAATCAACTCTGGCAACCCACTATCTTTCAATCTCTTTTCATCTCTTTATCTCGTCCTCATATCTTCCCACCGAATTGAATACTCAACATTACCGTGCGATCCGTCTTTGATCTTGATGAACCTTTCGCATGCCCCTTTAGCATGCGCAGTGATGATTGGAATGGAGAGACGCCGCTATTGAATGAATGACTCATAGATGAAACGAATCCGCACGACTTGGCAGCTGCTTAGTGACGACGTCTTATGGAAAGCGCCCCATTGTCTTTGCAGCGTTTAGCTTACAGTTTCAGCCTTGCTTTAACTGACATTTTTCTTCGAACTTGCTTCATGTTCGTCCTACTTTACTGACTGACCATTACTTACATTGTTGTCTGTCTATCTGTTTAGCATGTCTTGCTCCAGTCAAGCATGTTTTTTATTGGCTTTCAACTTGTCTACATCTCTCATTATGTCTCTTACTATCTCTATTTTTTTTCCAAGAATACATTTCTTCTTTCTTTAACAATATGTAAAACTATTGACTATGGTTGCATTGTAGCTCGGCTGTTTAGTATAGCATTTTCAATCGATCTTGAACAATAGCTCATTATGGATATGGATAATGGTATTGAAGCAATCATAATAAGCAGAACTGGTATGATCCAATGAGTCTGAGTGAACGAAACAATACATACCATACCACCTAATCCCAACATCAGTTAACTGCCTATACCAGACATGCTAGATTTCTCTACAATATGATATCTTCGTACATCCATCTTCATCACAAGACTGTCCTTCGTCCCTGTAACATGAACTCATTCTGGTCTAATCACTCCGTTAAAATTGCTGCCAAGACTTCATCTCCTAGATAACTTATGAACTTAACCCTAACTCAAGGAACTCTCAAAATACTAGGACAACATACCATGTATGCTGTGCTTTGTATGTATGTAACTACAGTATGTATTCATTCAGACCAACGTCCACTATAATATAGTAACAGACAATAAGAACAAGGAAATTAAATACACATGCGTAAATGTGAAACAACAACAACCCAAACGCCAACGCTGCGACTAAGAGACAAGAAAAAGATAAAAAAAGACAGGAGGGGGTATAAAGTGCGTACGTACGTGTCACGTGCATCGTCGAGAGGGGATGATGGATTATTAGTGAAAGGACAAAGGGGGAGGGGGTGGGGTTGGTTGTAAGGGAAACAGTGAAAGAAGGCGAACAAAGGATAAAGAAAGAAGCACTTGGATTAACACTTTTCCAAGCGCTTCCTCCTTTCCGCATAAATAGCCTCTAATTTCCGGATCTGCAGTCCAAGACCCTTCTTTTCTGCATTAGCGAAGAGCCAAGCTTCCATTCTCTCGCGGAGATGTCTCATGGAGTTCGTCACGGGGAGGATAGGTCCGTTCTCACTGGCCATAGCGGCAGGGTTTTGGCCTACGCGTTCCAGTTGAGCCCATCTCTCTTCGCCGGGGTTGAGGAGGAGGTCGAAGACGTCGTTCCAGATGTCGCGCTCCCAGTAGCGTTTCAGAGTCTCGCGGATTCGGTACGTCTTTGTCTCAGGGGTATTGCCGCTGGGGATGGACTCGAGGTACTTTCCGAAGAGCATAACGTGGATGGTGCCTGCTAGGCCGTAGAGATCGATTTGGTGCGTCCAGGGTCGCTTCTCGCGGATCTCGTTGCATTCGTGCTTGCCGGTCTCCCAGTCGGCGACGAATTGGACGGATGGTTGGAAGACTTGCATGTCGATACTGCGGCCGAAGTCGATCAGGGAGAGACCCTTGTTGCGCCAGCCGTGGAGGCCCCGGGGGGAGTAGTGAATTTCGCGTGGGTCTGCGGTGATCTCGTCGCCTAGGTCGATCAGGGAGGGAGGCGGTACGGGCTTGTCGTCGAGACGGACGAGACAGTTGTCGGCTTTGATGTCGCCGTGTAAGATGCCACAGGAGTGAAGGGACTCGACGATACGGAAGAGCTCTACTGTGAAGAACATGGCCAGGACCTCGTCTATTCCGCCTTCGGCGTTGGTGGTAGCTGAGATCGGCTCGTTACGGATGAGGTTCACGAGATCGAGCAATGTTCCTTGTCCACGGTAATCTTCGACCAAGATGCTTTCTCCTTTGTAGACGTGAAGCTCGTGCGCGCGGATGATACTTTCAGTGGCGCGGGAGTATTCGGGATGCTGGCTCAATCGTTCGTTTGCCGTGCGGATCATGTAGAACTCCCACTCACTGGGTGGTCCTACCTCCAGCTTGATCGCTTCGAAGCCGTGACGGGGTGTGTCATATCGAATGGGACTAGGGTTGTGGGAATCTCTGTTGTTGGAGTCGGTTTCCGAGTCGGAAGGTAGACTGTCGATGCTCTCTGCGAAATAGACCGGCGCATAAGCACCGGCACCGAGCTCACGCCTAATGATATAGCTTCTCTCAGCACCTGGAAGTTCAAGGATGGGAACATCGAAAGATGCCTCATCCCCGCTTCTTGACCGCTTTGGGCTTGTCTTGAGGTATCGCTGTATCTCAGAGCCATAGTGAGTGTCCATGTCCGGGTGGCCGTGGTAGCCAGGGTACGATGCCAGCGGAGGCTGCAATGACCGAAGAATCTTGTTACGAATATCCCTGTCAGTGGGGTTGCACAGCTCATCCTTGATAACTACTCCTGTTTGAGTGATTTCCTTCAGGGGACTCAATTTGAAGCTTGTTCGAAACTTCTCCATCGTGGGGCTGAGAGCAACGTCTTCAGGAATATCAGGGAAGTCATCGTGGTGAGGTGTGGCAGGAAGCAATGGGCTCGACAACAAGAGATTGCCCATCGGGGGCTTCGACGGCGTCTTCGCATTGTAGAGGCTGTTCCTCGCTGCTGTCATTGACAAAGAATGTTCGGTCTGTTCAACGATTGGTGTCATGAAAGGCAGGCGATTCTGAGCCATGATTGCGGGGTCTCGATAAGGGCCATATGGTGGATTGTAATCTTCAGGCATTTGGGGGACAAATCGCTGCCTCTCGCCATTTTCATCTGCATCATCGAACTGCTCTGTGTTATCCTCTCGGCCATGGTATGTGGAGTCCTCGGGCATGGTAGGTGAATGAGCAGCGCCCAGATCCGGCACATCACAGGCCGAGAACTGCGTCCACTCTCCATCTGCCACACTCTCAGCGCGAGTGTTATCTTCGAACCCATCCTCGTCACCTTCGACAAACGACTTATGAAAGGTCGTATCATCATCGCCGAAGTCGCTTGATGCAGCAGACATGCGACCAGTGACCGTGCTCTCTCCAGCGCTCGTATAATCATCGTCATCGAAGTCACTACTCTCTGCATTCTCGGTCTCTGCTTTGAGTGGCTGGTTGAAGATGCTATAGATCTCGTCTGTTGCAGCGCGGGTGTGGATAGTCATGGTTGGCTCCGCCGTGCTCTTGCGGCGAATCTTGCCTCCAGTGGGCGAATCAAATTTCATTTTGACTTCAGTTGGATTAGTACACAAGACAATGAATGAAAGAGCATTAAGTACGAAATGAGTCAAAGTAGATACTTACTCGTCTGTGTCTCTCCCTTCACTTCACGAAGCTTCAACTTCCGCGCTTTGCTGGTTTTGCTTTCCTGGACCGAATTTCCCCGGTCGGGGTCGTGAGTCTCTGCATCTTTGACAGTCAACTTCTGCTTAAATTGTTGTGGCAGGTCATTCTCAAGGCCATGCTCAAGAGGATTCTCGGAGGGAATCTCCGCAGAAGCAGCATTGCCTGAGATCTGCTTGAGGGGCTCTTTTTGGGCCCACCAGCTCTTGCCCATCCAACCACGGCTGATGGCTCTAAGTTCCTCGAAGCTCACTTCATGATTCGGATTCTTGTAGTCTGGGTATACTGCTTCAAGGTTGACGAAGACGCGCTCCCGTCTCCCTGTACGTGGGTTAACCGCTTCCCTTACGCGATGCTCTGGTACATGTTTCGATTGCAATGCTTCTTTTGCTTGTAAATTTGAATTTGACTGAATACATAAATCGTAAACCAATGCGGTTCATGCCACCAATTAGTCCTGTGATCGTAAATATACGGAAATCAGAAAGAGTAGGTAAAATAACCTGAACTTACCTCATCCCTGAAAATCGTCATCTTCTGTGCCGGTGCCGGCTTCTTCCCTGCCTTCAAAGTCTCTCCTGCCCATGGCTTTGCCTCAACCTTGTTCTCCTTCCGTCGGTCATGCATCGATCCAATGCTGTCCCACCCTTGTGCCGGCGCGCTGACAGTTGGTTGGCTGGGTGAATCAGCATCGGAAAAGATCGCCATCTTCGGCTTGCCGGATTTCGTCTTCGGGGCAGCGCTGCGCGCGGGCGCTGGGCGCTGGGCCTGGGGATCGGCTTCTTCCGCAGAAGCTGAAGCGAAGGGGTCGACCTTGGCAGCCAACGCTGGGCGCACAGCCGGTAGTGCAGGCGATGAGGGACCATTGTCCTGTGTGTGGTTTTCGTAGCGGTGCTGGAACTCGCTGTATTTGCGCACAAGTCGTTCTGCGGGGCGCGCTTCCTTGTCAATGCCAAGCCGGTACACCTCGTCGGCCTGTGTCCATCTTCCTGCACTTTCCAGCCAGGCCGCAAATTCTTCGTAGAACAATGCAAGTCCTTCTCCAATGCGGTGGCGTGCCAGAAAAGCGAATGTCTCGCGGGGTGAGTCGGAGAAGAGTCTGATGTAGTGGAGCCACAGGCGCAGGTAACGGGGGTCGTTCTTATAATGAGGGGAGTTGAGGAAGTGTTTCACGGCACGCTCCAGCAGGGGCAGAAGGCCGGATTCAGTTGTAGCCTGGGCGGTAGGATATGCATTTAGCGTCCATTTCACATATCGGTCGTAAATATCCAGCGGGTCGTCGGATTCTCCTATGGCCTGCAATTCTGTTTCGTATTCCTGGCGGATACCATCATTCACTGTGCGGGTATCATTTGGCGACGGTGTGGCCAAGATGTCTGTAGACTCGCGCGGAGAGAAGATGCGAGCCAACTCTCTTGCTGAGCGGCCTCCTGGTAGCGACTGAATGTTCTCCTTCTGGCCTTCGATGATGTCGAAGTTGACGTGGTCTTCGTTGGCCGCCATTGCGGCGACAGATGATGAAGAGAAGTGGATCAGAGCGAGTGCGTGGAGGGTGGTTAGTGATCGGTCGTAGTAAGTTTGCGATGATAGCGGTGAAGATGTCGAGATGGTGGGCTGGCGCGATGAAGCAAAGGGACTCGAGGAGATTGAATGGATGGGATTGACCGACTCGGGCAGTTTATCGATAAACAGCCGCTAGTCCCACTGTGGCTCGTTACCTCGACGACCA